TTTTATTGGCTCTTCAATAAACCCCATATTTGCATGCCGATGCCACACATCTTTCTATGTTGATACATATGTTGCCTCTTTTCTGTTTCTTGATTTCACATATTATGCATTTCCTCTTCTCACTGCTTTCACTCGAACTTCTCCCTTTTCTTTATGTACCTCAGCTACATCATTCTGAAACTTAAAACATTAGCATTCATCAGTAACTTTGACCACTGATACTAATATTTATTCACATTGGGAACACAACATACCTTTCTGTGTCACTGTATTCTCTATATCTTGCTATTATAAGAGAACATCGCCTAAAGTAATTTTATTCTCTTTTTATCTGCTAAACCCATCTTCCTTTCTCAATCTTCATTTCAGCAACAAATATTTATGTCCTGCATGTCATATGGCTAACTGACCTAGAATCAAATAGACATATCATACCTTACATATTTGTATTACTGCTTCAATCTTTCCTTGCCATAAAAACAATTCTTGGCATCCAATGACTCTACGCTGGTGATATTCCACGAGTCCAATATTTTCCTTCTGTTGCACATGCCCGTTTATTTCAACAGAGTATTGCCTTTTTACAGGTTCTGCAATCACTAATAGAAGATGGAAAAACAATGGCTTATATCTTACATTATTTATTTACAACTTAAGGTTATGTTAATAGAAAAACACATTTTTTTACGTGATGCATGCACACCTCCATAGACACAACAATGCTTTCCATGTTTTCTTCCAATCTTTTTCTCCCTTTCCACGCACTTTCTCGTTCACAATTTCTGTGATTAATTTACGATTTTTATAGTTATTAATACTTATTTGGTAGCATCTTTATAATGCATCCATGTAGATCGTAAATTAGTTGCATAGAATGTATGAGAAGCTCATTCAACAATCACCTGGCGCCATCTGTGTTCCTGTTACCGAATCCGAGTTTCGAGTTCAAAATCATAGATGACACTGATTTTACGCGAACGGGTTACTAACTCTGGTTACGAGCTCCTGATACATTTTATTAAATCAATTCGTGAAAAATTAACAAATTACTCAATTCCTGTGAATAATTTATGAACCTTTATAATTGCATAATAAAGACAGATCCTTCAAGAATTTTCTAATATAATTTTGGAAATTAATTTCTTCCTAATTAATTAATTACCAGTAATTATTGCATGGAGTGTTCGAAATGTTGCCACAGATATGAAAGGTTTATCATTAATGTAATCTTCAATGTAATTATGTTCCTGTGTATCTTCTCGTATTATTTTCGATAACATTTTACTTGTTTTGTCCATAATTAATTATTTCACCGAACAATCATGCCGATTGTTGATATCAAATCACCCATGCCTTCAAATAATTATTAATAACATACTAATTAACATCAAATTATGTACGAAAATTACATAAGAATGTTGCTCAAAGTTTCAGCTTTCTGGTGCAATAATAAAAGTTCATAAATTTAGTACAGAAATTTAGAAATATATGATTTTCTGCTATCGCGTCCTTTCTATCCTTTTTTAAATCTCTTGCTGTCCTTGTTTATTACGTAATGAAGTTTAGACGACCTCCTCGCGCATTCTGTGTTCCTATTACTTTTTTGAGCTTTCGGTCCAAAATCATAGATGGCGCTAATGGTATGTCGCTTGAAGTTCTGCCTTTGTCTATCTTATCGAAGGTACTACAGCGATATAATTGAATGCATTAGGGGCATATTGAGTTTATTTTTTGAACAAAATAATTTTAGGTTTCCTGTTTTATCTACGTAACATTATATTCTAGATGAAAGTAAAATTTAATATATGAACACCAAAGAGGGTTATACCGTAGTGGAGGGGTAGCTGTGATCTTTGTTATGGTTATTAAGAGGGTGGAGAGAAAAATAGACATTACTTTTCCCTATGTTTAATTTATTTTTCTTGCAGTAAAATTTTTATATTTTTATATTTATTAATTTATTTTTATATTTATGATTTCAGAATTCTTCGTCTGCTGTTATACTTTGTACATTCTTACATGCTAGTTGCTCGAATTTCTGCATTATTTGATAGAAGAGTTTCGAGTTCAAAATCATAGATGACACTGATTTTACGCGAACGGGTTACTAACTCTGGTTACGAGCTCCTGATACATTTTATTAAATCAATTCGTGAAAAATTAACAAATTACTCAATTCCTGTGAATAATTTATGAACCTTTATAATTGCATAATAAAGACAGATCCTTCAAGAATTTTCTAATATAATTTTGGAAATTAATTTCTTCCTAATTAATTAATTACCAGTAATTATTGCATGGAGTGTTCGAAATGTTGCCACAGATATGAAAGGTTTATCATTAATGTAATCTTCAATGTAATTATGTTCCTGTGTATCTTCTCGTATTATTTTCGATAACATTTTACTTGTTTTGTCCATAATTAATTATTTCACCGAACAATCATGCCGATTGTTGATATCAAATCACCCATGCCTTCAAATAATTATTAATAACATACTAATTAACATCAAATTATGTACGAAAATTACATAAGAATGTTGCTCAAAGTTTCAGCTTTCTGGTGCAATAATAAAAGTTCATAAATTTAGTACAGAAATTTAGAAATATATGATTTTCTGCTATCGCGTCCTTTCTATCCTTTTTTAAATCTCTTGCTGTCCTTGTTTATTACGTAATGAAGTTTAGACGACCTCCTCGCGCATTCTGTGTTCCTATTACTTTTTTGAGCTTTCGGTCCAAAATCATAGATGGCGCTAATGGTATGTCGCTTGAAGTTCTGCCTTTGTCTATCTTATCGAAGGTACTACAGCGATATAATTGAATGCATTAGGGGCATATTGAGTTTATTTTTTGAACAAAATAATTTTAGGTTTCCTGTTTTATCTACGTAACATTATATTCTAGATGAAAGTAAAATTTAATATATGAACACCAAAGAGGGTTATACCGTAGTGGAGGGGTAGCTGTGATCTTTGTTATGGTTATTAAGAGGGTGGAGAGAAAAATAGACATTACTTTTCCCTATGTTTAATTTATTTTTCTTGCAGTAAAATTTTTATATTTTTATATTTATTAATTTATTTTTATATTTATGATTTCAGAGTTCTTCGTCTGCTGTTATACTTTGTACATTCTTACATGCTAGTTGCTCGAATTTCTGCATTATTTGATAGACAATATGTGTTATATAAACAATTAGATCGTTTACATAATTGATTGTTAATTATTTCTATTTTTCAAACATTCGGTATCGTTAGCAAAGGACGTAAGTTAGGTAAACCGTTTTATTAAAAGTACTATTTAATCAATCTTAATTTTAAAACAGTTTGAATTAGTTTAATTTGACTTAAACTTTCGATTTTTTTTAATTTTATCGAGCTCTTTCCGTTTTTAATTACGCATCATGATATTATTTTATAATTTTACACATGAAATCCTACAATTTTCTTCTTCCTACGTGTGTTATATTGTTTACAGAAAATTTTCTATCACTGTATTAGTGAAAGAGCTAATTCAAGATTTTTGTATACTATTACCAAAAATTAAATGATACGTTTGGAAAATCAATTAATAATAATAATCCGATAATTTGTATTTAGAATTTCAGCACACACAAATAAAATTAAATTATTCTATATTTTTTAATTAACCCCTTGAGCCTGCTTAATAATATAATAATATTATATTGTGATGCCAGCTTAATATTTATAATAATATTTATAAATATATTTTATA